ATGTCTTCCATGGAGATTTTTTTCTTTGATTAGGATAAAGTTATTAAATTATTTTTTAATGTAACTCATAGATATGTCTTATGTTAATACCAATTCAAGTGATTCATTGACGTTTTTTGAATTTTAGATTTATTTCCATCACTTTCCCATTTGCAATGGAAATAACTCAATTCTTTTAAAGTTATCTCTAAATATTCTAATAGTTTCTCCATATGTAATTCCTTGTATTCTTTTACCCTATAAATATTATTAACGTCAAAGATTAAAGTTTCTAAATTAAAATCAATTAATGCTAAGGTATAATATTATAGTGTTTTATCATTTCTATGGATTTAAACATCTATCAATTAATGTTACGAATGTATTTTGGCTACCCCAACTTATTACTAAAATTATATAAAATTAATTTAATTTATATAGTGCCGATAAATTTTTAATCTATAATATTTTTAAAAATTTTATCTATTAACCAGATGTTTTTAATCAATTTATTGTTTTTGTTTACCAGTATCAACTTAGACTATTCTTAGATGCTGAATGTAGTAATCCGCTAAATTATGAAATTTTAATCATATATATTATATATATCATATATATATATATTAATATTATATATATATATATAGTAATATATATATATTATATATATATTATATATATATATTATTATATATATTATTATATATATTATGAAAATTAAAAATCACTTTTCTTTGCAAGTTTTAAAATTTTAGCCTCCCATTTTGTGGTTTTGAACTTTGAGGGTGTGATTTATAATTTTTTAAAAATTTTGAAAAGAGTTTTTAAATAAATTTACTTTTAAGTTTGGATTGTAATTCTATAATTCATCCTCTCACTGGTGGTAATTTTTTAAATGCTTAGCTAATTTCTTGTAAGCTCTAAAGATTTTGAGGGTGTCTTTTGTCAATTTTTTGAAAACTATAGATTAATTTTGAAAAATATTAATTTCAGCGGTTCTATGCCAATCGACTGAATGTTGTGTGTGCTAGTTAAATTTTGAAAATTGTTTAGAGTTTTTTTTTTTACAATTTTAAATTTTGAAAGGGAGTTTTTAAAATTTTGCAGGGTTAATTTCGGCAAATTTTAATTTTTGTAGGTGTCTACAGGGTAATATCTTGGAGTTCATCTTATGGTTATTTATCAATTTAGAATTTTAGGCGGTTGTTTTATATTTAGATACTTTGACAGTTGTTTTATATTTTTGAGTATATTTGAGCGGTGTTATTAAAAAATTTAAATTTATAATATCAAAAATTTTAGGTGTATCATGGTATCTGCTTGAATTCCCATGCTGTGTTGTTTGTAGTTTTAAAAGTTTAGAATTTATTTGCTTGTCTTGTAATTTATAATTTTTGAGGGTGTTTCTACTATTTAGAGACATTGAGGTGTTAACTGTACATTGTTAAATTCTTTGCAAACTGATGTTATGTTTTTATGTTCTATGTTTATTTAAGCTTTGAGACGGGGTTGGATGATTTTTTATAATTTTGAACCTTTTTAGGGTCTTTCTCTCGTCGCAATTTTAAGGACACCTTTTTTTGGTTTTTTTGCAATACTTCATGTATTATAATATGTTATCTATTGTAATTTTCTTTTCTTTTAACAAACTAGAATATCATTTTTTATGTTGTTATATATTTTATTAGTATATTATTTTTAATTGTTAAGCCTAAACATAGGTTCACGATAGGATTAGATGTAAGATAGTGATTATGATTTGATAAATTCAGATATAAATAAAATATTTAAAATAGTGAAGGGTATATTGACCATTGAAATTAGAATTAATTAGGTAGATAAGGTAATTCAACTATACGGGGTATATGTTTGTTAAAAAGATCCGAGTTAACTCGTACTTTAAAGAGGTATGATATATACCTATAGTATAGTAATATAATAGTATATATATATATTGAGGAGATAAAGTAAAGAGATCAAACCTTGCACATGGGTGCAACCAAAATAGCACCATCCCAGTATGTTGGCTTCTTCCTATGTAACAAAAGGACCAAAGCTCCTCCCATAGACTCGCCAAATATAAACCTCTTCTTCTTTTCGTTCTCATTCCTCTCTATTTACAAGAGTTAAATAACATTCTTCAAAAAAAAAAAAAAACAAACCAAAAAGGAAAAAATTCATTAAAAATGTGGGAGAAAATTATTGAATTACACATCGACGTGATTTAATTCAATAATTAAAATATCTCGATGTAATTTAATTCAATACGTGAAATTATTACTTACCACAAATATTCGTAAAATGTTCATCGCAATCGTTAACGATATTTTCGAAACTTGGGATGTAACCTTGTAATCCAGAGGATTTCCCATGGCCTTCTAAATCTATTCCATATACTGCATACCCAGCCTTTGCAAGTTGAATCCCAGTTCCTAAATGAATAATAATTATGATAATAATAAGTTAGTAATATTTCTTACATAAAAGAAAAGGTTAATACCCTTTTTTATCAAGAAAAATCAATTTTTTGAGAATAATTAATCACCTTTCATTGAGATGCTACACTCCATTGCATAACCTATTTAAGAACACGAACAATAAGATGAATAAAAATGTAATGATATTAAAAAGGGAAAAAATTAAATAAAAATACCATGGCAAAGGAAAATCAAAGCTTTGGGGTCTTGGTTCGCAGGAATCCATCGACAAGTAAAGAGCTTCAATCCTCTTGAATTTTGTATAAATTCCTAGAATCAAAAGTTTGATTATTAGTTGATTCTATCTAGATTTTAAATCATACATATATACAAGAAAGAAAATTTAGAATAAAAGGTCTAAAAATTACCTCTTCATATTTGATGATCTCAGAACCTTGTGCCTAAAATGGTGACATATTGACGGAAGGAAAATGGAACCCAAGTTAGAAAAAAGAGTTGAATTCTATAATCAATTGAAGAAAAATATTGTATGAACATTGTTTTATGAGGAACTTACCATTGAGAAAAGAGAGCACTATACATAGAGTTTTTGAGAATAAAAGTGAGAAAAGACTCAAAACAAATATTCCTTTATATAAGGAATTTGTTTCAGGCTAGATCCTTTTTCTCGAGGAGGCAATTGAGTTAGTGAGTGTATCTTTTTTGATAGAGTCAAATCCTTTTGTGGTATTTATTGTAGCAGCCCTCCTCAACTTTCATGATATTGCATTAGCTTCTTGCCATTTTAAAAACTAAACATTTACTGTTCCAGTAGGAGTCAAATCATGAGACGTTACATCTTGTTATTAATGAGATAGTGAAGATGATCAAACCCTTGAGATGTAACTCTATTTGAATTTTCTTTTTAATACATGAGCAATCATCTTAACTTTCTAAACTTGCATTATTAGAGTGTCTTTTATTAAAAAAACAAACTATCGTATAAATAAATAAGCATGAGCTATCTGCCATCTCCAGGACCGCATAGCGCAGTGGATTAGCGCGTCTGACTTCGGATCAGAAGGTCGTGGGTTCGACTCCCACTGTGGTCGGTTTTCTTTTTCACCTTTTTCCCCAGAATTTTTATCAATATTTTTTCATTTATTATTTTTCTTGATCTCATGATGATAAGTTCAAGCTCAAAATATACCATTGCCATGTTTTTTGGTCCATGAAAATATTCATTCATTTACCATTATGAAATGATTAGTACATCAATTTATCAGTAAACAGTCTGGTAATCAAAACAGAATGAAAATTTACATTCTCTCAATTCTATCTTTCATATGAACAGGTATAGATTCATTCAAAATTTTTGAGAAGATGGAAACTTTGATTGCTCGAAATAGGATACTCGACTCTCTAGCTTTTCCTTTACTGAGAGTGTCATCCTCTTCATCATCTTCAAGAATCCCCTCCCCTTCAAGTTTGAAGAAAACCAGTTAATGACTTGTGTCCAATCACATGATTTCCATGAAAAATTCATCCAATCCATCACTTCATTCCAAATTTCAACAGCAAACTGACACTCAAAGAATATGTGTTTAATTGTTTCAGGTTGGCTTCTAGAACAGATAACACACTGGTTTTGTTTATTCTCCAAAATACCCATACGGCACAATCTGTCCATAGTGAGAAGTCTGGAGTGGCAAGCTAGCCATAGAACAAAAGAATGCTTAGGATATTGATATGCTTTCCATACTGTGTCAAACCAGCCCACTGGAGGAGAAGACTGAATTAAAGCATAGTACACAGAAGATAAATGAACTCTACCATTTGTGCAGCAATCATACATGAATCTGTGCAAGTTATCTTCATTTCCAAATTTTTCAAGCACCAAATTTCTAACCTTGAGAAGTTGTTTCCACATCCACGAATCATTCACTTTACTTTGAACTTGCCAAATATTCAAAGTTTGTAAGTAGTTACCATGTATCCATTTGATCCATAACCAATCCTTTTTCAAATGTATCATCCATAAGAGTTTAGTTGCAGCAGCAAAATTCCAAGCCTTAGCTGAAAATAGACCCAGACCCCCATTCTTCTTGCTTTGACAGATGGTATTCCAGGATACCAAATGAATCTTATGCCCCCAAAGGAAATCAGAGCACAACCTATCTATTTTTTCCAAGGCTTTGAATGGTAGAATATAGTTGCTGATCCAATAGGTTTGAATTCCTAGGATTGTTGATTTTATAAGTTGAAACCTTCCTGCATAAGATAGTGTAGGCGTCTAAAATTGTCTACGAGAGCCCACACGAAACTCGAAGCAATGAATGGGCGAATCAAGAAGATTCGTCAAATCAACTCGTACGCGGCGGTCAACGCGCGTACGTCAACCAACTCGTGCGCGCCGGTCAACGCGTGCACGACAACCAACTCGTGCGCGCCGGTCAACGCGCGTACGTCAAATCATCTCATGCGCGTCGGTCAACGAGTGCACGTCAAATCACCTTGTGCGCGCCAGTCAACGCGCGCACGTCAATCAGCCCGCGCGCATCGATCAACACGCGTATATTAACCAACGCGCGTTCGACGATCGGTCTCGCGACGAAGCATACAAATCAACAAATCTATCGAATACGCGACAAGAACAAGTCCCGGAAGAAAGAAACCAAAAAAGGGAGAAAGTTGGCGAACCCGCGCTAAGCGCAGGACGGAATTGTTTGTTGGAAATTTGCAGTAAAAAGACAATGAAAGAAAAATTTGACTTGTATTCCTCTCAAAATCAATTACAATTTGGATTCCGATTACAAAAGAGAGGAGAATGAATTTGATTCTCCCCTTTGTTTAATTCTGGGTTCTTCACGGTGGCGATGAGATGCCTCCCTCGAATGCTCGCGTCGAGTTTGCTTCTCGTTGACGATCCGAACGTCTTGATTCACTGGAACGATGTCTTCTCCTCACGATTTGACGCTGTGGAGAACTTGCGTGGCAAGTTTTGAAATAACTCTTGACGAGTTGATAACTCTGAACGAGTTTTAGAAGAACTTGCAGAGCAAGTTTTGAACTCTGATCGAGTTGATAACTCTGACGAGTTTTAGAAGAACTTGCAGAGCAAGTTTTGAACTCTGATCGAGTTGATAACTCTGAACGAGTTTGAACTCTTGAAAAAGAGTTGATTTGAACCGAAAGTCGGTTATAAGCCAAGGGAATGCTCCTGTGGTCGATCGCTTCCAAAGTTAGCCGAAGATCTCTCCTTTGCTGCCCAAAAAGAAGGATCCCAGAGCCCAGAGCCAAAAAGCCCCGAACTCAGTTGAGTTTCTGATATTTATAGGGGATTACGGGTGGTAACTGCCCCCTTAATCCACTCTTAAGTGGGGCAAAAATCCCTCAAATCGTGGGAAAAAATAGTTCCTGGAACTGTTCATTACGTGCTTTGAACGAGTCAAACGCTGAAAAATAGCGTTTAGGGCCCGAACTCTGCGTTTTTAGACTAAAAACGCAGAGTTGGGCCTATTCTGGTGGCTGAACGTACTGGCCGCGCAGCGTGATGAACTCTGAGACGCAGAGTTGGGATGTTTTAGGCTGAAAACGCACAATTCGTGCTGTAAACGCACAGTTGGGCCGAAAACGCACAGTTGACCTGTTTAAAGGCTGAAAACGCACAGTTTTGCTGTTTTAGAGATGAACTCTGCGTTTTAGGCTGAAAACGCAGAGTTGTGCCTGTTTAAAGGCTGAAAACGCACAGTTGTGCTGTTTTAGAGATTAACTCTGCGTTTCTAGACTGAAAACGCAGAGTTGAGCCTGTTTAAAGGCTGAAAACGCACAGTTGTGCTGTTTTAGAGATTAACTCTGCGTTTTGATGTTGAAAACGCAGAGTTGAGCCTGTTAACGGCTGAAAACGCACAGTTGTGCTATTTTAGCGATTAACTCTGCGTTTTGATGTTGAAAACGCAGAGTTGAGCATGTGCGCTTTGACTCTGTAATGCAGAGGCGAACCTTAGGTGGGCTTGGCGGGCTTCAGGCTAAGTCCAATGTTCTGACGAAGTCCAGTCTTGCAGACGGTCTTCAGAACATTACTTGTTACGAAGAACAGGTCATAACTTTCAAACCGTACGTCGGAATTGGACTGGTCCGACCCGCGCAACCGCGGGTCGGACTGATCCGACCCGCGCAAGTGCGGGTCGGATTGGTCCGACCCGCGCAAGCGCGGGTCGGACTGATCCGACCCGCGCAAGCGCGGGTCAGACCAGTCTGCCGCGCTGTTTTGACCCCTTGATGTGTATTTCGATGGTTTTAACGGTTTTCTCGAGATCTTTTCAGTTCTAGGGGTTTCTAACTGACCTGATATCATCCCCAAACGTGGTTAGGCTGTTGTTAACTGAAGATAGAGCCAAATCACTTGTTCTCATCCAAATAACCGCATTCGGGGTCTATAAATATGAGTCAAAGGCCTCCATTTTTCAGGGGCGATTGATTATCAAGACGAGGAGGTGCTGCCGGATTGTGGAGTCAAAGGAGCACGAATTTCAGCGAGGGTTGACAGATCTTGGCGAGTTCTTCGGCATAAAGAAGGAGAGTTCGAGAGATCCGACGCCCGTTCCCGTCCGTCCCTTGAGATTAGGCTTGGTCTTAATCTCGAGAAGAGCCCTGATTTCGCTTGGTCGATCTCAGCGCTTCAAATCAAATACTTCCTCGGTGAAGACGAAGCTCTGCCGAATTTTTCATCAATCGGATCCAGATCTAAGGCGGTCCACGGATAAACCCCGGCACAGGCAAAGATCCCACGCAATGCAGCGGGTGATAAACGTCCTCTGCGTTTGTTTTGACGAGAGTTGTAAACTTTTGTTTTCATTGTGTAAAAGTCTTATAAAAAGACAATCTTTTTTTGTTTTCATTGTAACGATTGAAGTTGTAATGAATACCGCAATGAATACATCAATTTTCGACGCAAACAAACTGGCGACCACAGTGGGAGCCAACGGTCTCGCTGCCGAGACCGTCGTGTCGCAACCTCGGATCTGCATCCCGGTTGAAGAAGTGGTCGAATACGAGTTCGACCAACTGAAGTTCGAGGAGTATCTGTCGTCCTCCTCCTCCAGCTCCTCCGCCTCTCGCAAGCGAAGGAAGATCAACGCCCCCGTTGTTGCGGTGAGTATAGAAGGCGCGCCCACTTTATCGAAGAGAGCTCGCCAAAGGCAGCGCCAACGCTGTGCGCGCCAACTCGCTAGGGCTTTGGAGTCTATTGACGGGATCCGTTACGAGACGTATCTGAAAATTAGGCAACGTCAAGCGCCCCAACAGCGGACAAATACCCTCTCCTCCAAATCATCAACAAGTGAATGAGTACAAGTCAAAAGGACCCGTTCAAGTCTTGAGGAGCGGATCAAAAAGCACCGCGCACTGCTTGCGCACGCGTGAATTCTTGTGCAGGAGGCCAAGAGATTGGAAGATAAAGGAGTGGAAAAGAAGCCACAAAGACTGCACCAAGTTTGGAGGCCAAAGTCCAAGACGGCGGCCGAAAAGATCGAAAAATGCGGGTCACTCAAATCCGACCCGCCGAACTGCAGGTCACTCAAATCCGACCCGCCAATCTGCAGGTCACCCAAACCCCCCCCGCCAATCTGCAGGTCGCCCAAATCCGACCCTCCAAATCG